TTTATGTTAAAAAAGTGTTAAAAATGGAAATAAACCCATTTCAGAACAGTGCTGTCTTGTTTACATTTTGGCATTTTCAAGGCGTGACTTTGAAGTTCCATGGGCCTGAAGACCTTTGCTAGTCACATTTTCTGAATATCTGTGAAACAAATATTTTATAATTAAAAATTGATGGTCATTAAGCTGTTAAACATTATGTAATATTGCATCAAAATTTGAAGAAACCCCTATTTTGGGCACTGCTTCCATGATGACCATTTAAGGAAAATCATGTCACTTACTGTTCTCAAACTTACAGGAAAGAAACATGGGACTAAAATACAGCTTCAGTAGGCAATGCAGTCTGTTTGGTATTTTTATTTATTTATTTATTTATTTTGGCAGTTAAACAGTTTTTTGTGAAAATTTAATTTTTCACATATTGGCATTTTCAAGGTGTGACTTTAAAGTTCCATGATCTTGAAGACTTTTGCTTGTCACATTTTCTGAATGTCCATGTTACTAATATTTTATTAATAACATTTGATTGTCATTATGCTGTTAAATATTATGTAATGTTACATCAAAATTTGAAGAAACCCCTATTTTGGGCACTGCTCCTATGATGACCATTTAAGGGAAATCATGTCACTTACTGTTCTCAGACTTACAGGAAAGAAACATGGTACTAAAATATAGCTTCAGTAGGCAATGCAGTCTGTTTGTTAATTTTTCTGGCAATTTAACAGTTTTTTGTGAAAATTTAATTTTTCACTTATTTGCATCTTTATTTTCTGTTCTTTGTCTGTACATTTGACAGCTTTGCTGCCTTGTTTAAGTTTTCTCAGTAACTACAAAAGCTAAAAACTTAACTTCATATTCTCCTCAACCATGATATGGGCCAACAAAATACGAAAACATATGTAAGCATTAAACATGACACCTAGCACTGTGGAAGGATATATGAGGCATTTTGATTGGACAATAACAGGTCATGTGACCAATGAGCCCTAAACCCTTATGCCTTTCAAGATAATCTTGAACTTAAAATGCACAATTATTATATATAGAAGCATTTTTAAACTGAGAAACATTTCATTTGAATAATTTTGAAGTTATTATAATTTAGACAATATATTATATTTATAATTAATAAATTTAGAAAGATATTCTCTCTTAAATGTCCCAATATTATTTAAAGATGATCAGAGCAGATGAGAACTTACATCATAGTAAAAAATAGTAACATATTTCAAGATGAAATATATTATCATGGGAAGACATGTTTACCTTTGATATTATTCATCAAACTTATGCTGGTATGTATTCATAAAATATTATTATTAGCCATGTTTTACATTTTATTTAGCAATGGACAGAACGTCCTTCCGAAACGCGTCCTTCCGTGACGCCTACTTGATTTTTCTGTATGTAAAATTTTCAAATTAATATTTTTTCCAAAAAAAAAAAAAAAATGTTTATATATTGAGAAAGTGAAATAATCAAATATTCATATTTTGATTTGACTTTAAAAATATCTCCACAGACAGAGCAGAATTTTGGTGTTGAAGGTAAAAGTTAAAATTCCATGTCCATTTCAAGTCCTTCCGAGACGCTAACTATTTATTATAATTTTTTCGTAATTATAAATTTTTTAACCTTATTTTTTTGCTTAATTATAACTTACATATAGCGGAATAAACATACAGAAAATGGACCTTCTAACTTTTTTACTTTTTAAAATATTTTCATTTGAAGTGTCAAATGTCCTTCCCTAATGACAAAAAATACCACGGAATGGCCCTCTATCTGATCATAGTGGTATGATGGTTATTTATGTATACTTTAGTGTCGGGTTAGATAACTGTCCTTTTTCGAGCCAGAAACGTTAGATTTGAATTTCTTATTTAATAGAAATAATGTCTGTATAAAATGATAAAGTGATTGTTTTAAAATTATCATATATTAATTTCCAAGAAAAGAATTTTTTTCTATTTGTCACTGAAAATATGTATTGGCAAATCTGCAACTTGACACCTCGCTGTAAACTTGAAGATATACTCTTATTCATTCTAAATGATGTTGATTTCTGGTAACCCCGTTACGTAAAATGAATATAGGCAAATTTTAATTACATTTATCGTGTGTTCAGTCGAAAAAGAGGAAGAAATGTAAATCTACAAAAGACACTGTTAATAAAACGCACAACTCCTTAGAAATCCCAACAATATGTAGCGGCAAAATGTGTCCACGTTATTGCCGAATTGTCCACATTTGTTGCATATATGATAAGAAAACTATTCCTATAGTTGGCTACAAAATATACACAGGATTGGGATCATTTATACGCCGTTTAGGACTTCTATTACAAAACAGTAGTGTCGAAAAACAAAAACGGAAATGGCATTTAGATATCATTTGTCCATTAAAATGTTTTTGTAGGACTGACATTAATCATAGCCTTTCGCATTCCATATTTTGAAAATCACTTGAGCTGCCGCAAAGCCCAATTTTAGGGAGGTAATGAGTAATCTGAAAGGAATCGATGAATATTTAGACTTTAACTTTTGTCAATTTTGCTGAAAAAGATAGTGAACAATTCATAATTCTTAAAAAATCTACAGATTTTTAAAAACCAGATTATAGGATTCATTATATTATCTGTTATTCTAAAGTCCATTATTACCGTTTGGTCACTTATTTAAGAAAGTTACGGAATTATCATCTAAAAATGTTATTACTAAGTATTTTGTTCCTCCAAACGCTAATTTCGATATTCAACCTAAGTGTACGTAAACCTTAATACTTCGCTTGGTTTGGATTTTTAAGAAAAAAATGCCTCAAACGTGCAGAGGAGCGTTATTAAAGTTGTTCTGTATTCTTTTACATTTTGATTTATTTTTGGGAGCAAGGAGTGATTGAGAAAGACAGGCTTGGTTAAATATTAGTCCTGCGTTCCCATGCTGTGTTATTTGTGCTTACTGTCATCACTGAAAACCGAGAACCAGAGTAAATTTTAAGTGAATATGAAAAGTCACTACAAATTTTCTGATTTTTTAGTAACCTTTTCAGTTTTGTTTGTGTATTATTCTGAATTTGGCTAAGACTTGGTTAATCATGTAAACCATGTATTTATGTGGCTCCTGATTCCCATGCTTTGCAAATGTAAAATTTCATCCAGAATTACGCCCTGTATATTTGTTTTCGGATTTAGTGCAAAGAAAGCAAAGATTTAAAATTTCGATTGGCAAACTTCCAGAAATCTCACAAACATGACTAGATCTGTTAATTGTTCACGAGAAAACTAAATTATGCAATGTCATTAGCCTTCTATTAACTTTTTACTCAGTTCAGTAATATATTCTGTTCCTTGACGGAATTATTCGTAAGTTGCTTTGAGAAAGCTTTCCAATAATATTGGTCGTGTTTTCCATGTCATTCTCATAGTGTAATAGAAATGGGTGTACAACATCTATTGAAATTTGAGAAATATAGGAGAATTTTGGATTTTGAACTGCATGCCTCTTCCATTACCGTTTTACCTAAGCTAAGTATAAATGGCATTGGAATATTTAATTATGCCATTAACGTGTGTTATTTTTATATTTCAGAACACTGCCATTCCCTTTGCCAAGATACTGCAAAATGCACATACGACTGATAGAAGCTGCCCTAGTCTTCCGTATTTTGGAACAGGACACGGACTGGAACATGTGAAAATTACTTGTTGACAGTCGTTCATGATTTTCAAAATGATCGCTTTGTATTAAATTTTCTGCATACTGAAATGGCGCACTTAGATTGATCGTTTTTCATTTTCCAAAAAATCAGACATCAATTATTATGTACAGACACATCTGTGTCTGTACATATAGCCGTCACCTGCGACTGTCGTCGCCGTCGCCGTCGCCGTGCACTTTCACCGAAAACACGATAAGTGGAAAACCGTTTTACTACAGAAACTTACAGAACTGATGAATATTAATAAAACGCAGGTCAAGTTCGAAAATCAGCATGATTGGGCCATTTCCTTAACAGTTATGCTGTTTTTTTTCACATTTTTAAGCATATTTGAAACACCGATTACACGATAAGTGGAAAACCGTTTTACCTTTTGGCTTGATACTTACAGAACTGATGAATATACATAAAACGCAGATCGGATTCGAAAATCAGCATGATCGGGCCTTTTTAAAAAGTTATGCCTTTTTTCGCTTTTTTCAGCATATATGCAATACTAATAACACATTCCAAGAAAACTAATAGGCCTTGAAAATTACTGGAGTGATCAATCTTACTAAAATACAGGTTGAGTTGGAAAATCAGCTTGATCGGTAAAGTTTTGATGAGGTTATGCTTTTTTTGTATACAAATGGTTTTTCATCAAATTTGATTCTTATGCATGTTAACTGTACAGTCTCATTATCGAGACGTGTGAAAGTGTTCTTTTAACATTCTCTGTATCTTAACCATATTGCTTGTTAAAATGATGGTAAACCTGTTATCATATATTGTGTAATAAAGTGTCAAAAATGGAAAGACATCATTGCAGTTTGTCAGATTCAATCATTCACTATGTTCAGAATCTCAGAATGGAGCAAATTGGAAATTTAAAGTTGCTCTATTGATATATTTCCTATGTCAACATTTTTAGTTGATCATATAAAAATGACAGTAAATTGATTATATTGCTTTATGCAAAAAAGGTGTTGAAAATAAATAGAAATAAGCCAATTTCAGTACAGTTATCTCTTGTTTACAAGAATGATTCTTAGGATTGACATACCGCTCAAATTAGAAACCAGCTCTATCGGATTATCATTTTTTATTGAATTTATGCATTTTTTGTGAAATTTTCATTTTTCTCATCCTGACATTTTCTAAGTATGAACATGAACTCTCATTGGCCTGAATCCTTATGTTTTTACTTTCATCAGTATTACCTGTTGTGCATTAAAATTTGAATTAAAATTTGATGTTGACTATGCAGTTAAGCATAACGTATTATTGCATCAGAATTGACAGTATCCTATTTTGTGCATTATTTTCTGCTTCTTGTCTGTACATTTGACAGCTTTGCTGCTTATCATATTATGCCATAAGAATTGATCGATATAAATAATAAAATATGATTTTGAAAAAACTTGAATTTGATTCCACTTGACCAGTCAGTTTCTCTTCAATTTTCTTATGTTATGCCATAGTTTCATATATAATATAAAGCTATACTATAATATGAAAAGCCATAATATAATCTCAAAGTGCTTACAAATCACAACTTTCAAATTTAAAGGTAAAGTTGCATTTTCACCAGATCGCAAGTTGGAAGTACGATTATTTAATGTTATTTACTACTGTATTATTCGTTATGATCTACATTGTAAAGGAAATTTTATTTTATCATTTGTAACTGTACTCTGACATTTGTGAACGACAATCGTTTTTGCCTGAATAAATACGCTTTTTGATGAAGTTTTCATTTTTAATCTTATAGATACAGAAGTGAAAGAAGTAATATTGATATACTGAATTTTAAGAACATTTAAGAATATTTGAAACATGGGTGAGTCCATTCGTTTTGTGAGGGGTGACAGGTTGGAAGAGTCCATTGTTTTCGAGGGAAGACAGGTGGGGCGAGTCCATTCAATTTTAAGGGGTGACAGGTTGGAAGAGTCCATTCAATTTTAAGGGGTGACAGGTGGGGCGAGTCCATTCAATTTTAAGGGGTGACAGGTTGGAAGAGTCCATTCAAATTTAAGGGGTGACAGGTTGGAAGAGTCCATTGTTTTCGAGGGGTGACAGGCGGGG